TAGTCGGTGGCGGATTTCTCGAATCCAGATTTCTTTCAGGAAATGCAGGCAGCAGGAAAGTGGGAGCAGGAGCATCCGGAGGAAGTTGCTCTTGGTGGCGAAGTAGACGATACAGTCGAAAATGACGGGGATAGCGAGGTTAGAGGAAGTAGAAGATGAAATCGAGGATGAAGAAAACGAATGTGGAGTAAGTTTGACTTTCGCTGCGAAAAAATACTTTCTTTGAGTAGAAAAGTTTATTCTGCGAAAATTGGTTGCAAGCGTGAACTGTTTTGTCCTACTTTCACTGAAATATTGGGTGAGAGCGCTCACTAATGATTTATTGCTACCGAACTTTAGTAGCTTCACTGAAGCACGTGCCTTTTTGCAGCGGGCTTTGTGATGAAATGAAACTATTCCATTGGGTAGTACATATTAGCTTGTTTGAAATTCGGTTCAGTTCTCGGCTTTCATTTTTGGATGGGCGTATCTCAGCTCTAACCATAAGTAAACCTTATCAATCGGAAATCACACGCGCCCACGAAAAGCGACGTGCACTGGCCTTTTAGAAAAATATAAAATATCCAAAGGTTTCTGAAGCCAATGAAGTTGTTGCCGAAGACGAGTGAAAATTGCTCCAATCTGTAACATGGCAGTTCGTCAAACTAGGTTCTCGTCGTAGAACTTACACCATTGTCGGTTCTACGGCGAGAACCTAGTTTCACGAACTCTTGCGAATATAATCCAATGGATTCCGCGTGTTCCGCAGTCTCACCAAAAAAATGCCTTCTGCAGCCTTTTTTTTTTATATTTTTCGTAGTTGAATCGGAACCAAAGGCATATTAAAACTGAAAGTAAGCATAAATTAATGTTCGCCCTTCTGCAAAACTTCTTTCTGTGTTTTTACAAAAAACGCTGAAAAGCAATTTTGGTTGCTTTCGCGCTTAACCGTGCAACTTCCCTTGGTTGATCGTTTGGATTGGAAGGCTTAAATGCGGTAAGACGAAGTTATACGATGGTGTATTAGCATACTATTTGATGATGCCAAAGAGATGCATTGTAAAATAACTATTTCAGCCTTCGTCTTCCTCTTCAAGAAGTCACTCACCTGTACTTTCTCAAGAAAGTTAGTCGATTTTTGTGGAGGCTTTTTATTTAGTATTACGATCGTAACATCGGGTGGATACGCTCTTTACCGACATAGCGCGAAAGCAAAGGAGTTTTTTGATAAAGTTCTTCAGGATTATTCTGGATCAGCTTAATGAGTTGCAATGCAGGAGTCGACCATTTAAAAGTCGTGTTGATCTTTCACAATAATTTTAGTGCGTTTCAGAACAAATTCAAGAAGTAGTTAACCAGGGTAAAACAAGAAGGTTAAGCTTGCCGAAACCAAATTATTCGCTTTTTGTCCAGCGCGGAGCCGACTTGAACAAAATCTTGGTAGACGCTGCCAATAAGTAATCTCGTAGACTTGATCCTAGCTGCCGGTTCACTAACCGTCATATTTGAGGCCATCAAAAAACTTCTATTGAGCTAACTTCTGACATTCCTTGAAGCTTGTATTCTCAAAAGGTCTGAAGGATTACACAGTTCAATTTTTTCCTAACCGGGGCTTTTTTGTTCAAATTTTTACCAGTAGAATTTTTCAGCCTGATATGCTTCGAGAAAGTTATGCGCGTTCCCCAAAAAAAAAAAAACTGTGACTGAGAATGGCGATGAATTTATTCATTTTTACTGCTGACGAGCTCACGAAGTGGTCCTTTTTGTCAGCGTACTCAGTACTTTCACCTACTCGTACATAATATAATTATTGGAGATTGTTCTAGACGGTGAACCGGGCAACATTGCTAACGTAAAAGTTTCCGACGTTGACGATCGGGATATTCCTCAGTGTGCATTGGCAAGGAGTAGATTCGAGGTATGTATCACCAAAACTATTGCATTATGTACAGATTCGAACCTGGGAAATTCAGCAAAGCTGCGTGGCCTCTTCATCCACTGCACAAAAGGAAACCGTCGAGGTAGCTGACGTTGCTGCTACATGTGCGCAAAAACAGGTAATCCTTGAACAGAGAAGCTGGAAAATTTTATGCAGGTATGCTTCTCAAATTATTAGCTCCAATTCTGTATTTAGGCAGTAAAACGCACTGCTGATTACTCGAACGGCGGTGAATTAAAGAAGTGTTCTGATGATGTCACGCTGGATAAGAAAGGAGAAGGTGGAGGTGATCGCATGGTATCGAATGGACATGACGGAACTGTGTCTTCATCTACAGCTGGTATGGGTTCACCCTCATCCGATCACTCAGACGTGGCATGTATTGCAGTCATCGAGGGAAATCCAGGTACGTTCATAGATGAATATGCTATATGTGTCCAGTATTAGTGCTGAATTCTGCACTAGTGTGTGTTACGGACTTCGTCCTTTTGGACTTGGGAAGTGTGCGACGATACACTTCACGTGGTAATCGATCAGGTTTTTTTGGTGCATGTTTTTGAACATATGATCTACTACCAGAATCTGTATAACACTCCGCCCCTGGATTCTGCTCAACGTGGTCTAATTTAATTTGTTATGAAGCATAAATTAATGGCTCGCTTATTGGATCTGCTCAACGTGGTCTAATTTAATTTGTCATGAAGCATAAATTAATGGCTCGCTTATTGGATCCCATCTTATAATAATTTATGTGAGATAGCAGGCCGCCACGCTTTATATCAAGCTTCAAATTAGCAGCAGTTGCGTGTCGTTTTGAAGTTCGTCGAGCGAAAATTTGTATGATTCGTATTTGCAACTTATCGGGTCGGAGCATTAATTTTGAATGATGCATACGTTAGAATCCTTGAGTGTGATGTTGTGATACAGTGGGTCGAAAGTGCTTATGTGTAAAATATTTTATTATACAGATTTGATATATTTGAAGAAATAAAGTGCTCGTGGTTCGGGAAAATCCTTCATTCATCGAGACTTGGTTAATTAGGTCAATTCATGGGTAATATTCGGGCTTATCAAACATGCCGTTCTTGCCAAAGTATGTTGTGGCTGTTTGCTTTCGAAATGTACTGTGTAGGAAACCCTGACAATTTTTCATCACATCAGAACCGCTTGCACTCATTTGAACGAGGACTTGAGCCATCTCCAAATTATGCGTTGACTTTGCAACTTCGCTGTTGTGAGGAATTAAACGAAGGCAACCTGTCAACGTGTGCATCGTAAAGGATCATGCGCTAATTACAAGGTCGCCGGCTTCAGACTGTTCCTGGTTGACGTGTCAGAACATGACACGAATCTTCCGGAATGCGCGAGCAGGCCATACGGGTGTCGCAATACGCTTGGAATGTGTTCAGCAAGCCGCTCTAACATGTCTGTGTTTTGTGAACTCGGTCTGAACCCCAATGCGGCAGAGAAAAGGCTAGAGGGTTTGCGCCTAACCATTTCCCTTTTTCTGGAATTGCTAATCCGTCATCGTTTTCGTGGAGGAATGTGACCTGTATAGTGCGATTGCGCAGCGCACATAAGCGAGCTCAAAACGTAACCTTCACATGCGGAGTAGGTAATGCTTTCTTTTGCTTTTGGACCTGTCTCTTTTATATGCAGACATAAACGGATGACCATCGCTAGATGTACACTGGGCTACTTTTTTGCAGAGCAGCATATTTTATACTTGTTGTGTGCCTTCCAAGGTTTTCTTACTGCATGACAAGTCTCAGCCACATATTAGCGTCGAAGCTTCTCTAAAAGGCGCAAGTCTGTTGAAGCTTTGTATGCTGACCAGGTTTTGTTATGGTTATCCCATGTCTCATTCCACCTTTTTAGATGATTTTATGTAAACTAGCGCATTCTCAAGTATGCGGAGACTGCCATATTGCAAAGTTTGCCTTGATGGGAACAAGGCAATGACCAAGTGGCCATCGGATGACTTGTTTACCTTACAATCGCTTGTTGCACTATTGCTATTAGTACATTTTAGCCAGTTTACTGCGTAAACATATGGAGGGCACACAGGGCCAAACTGCGTTGTAGAGACTAACTTAAGCCTGTACAATTTCCCTTATAAAGGAGCACTATACTTAACAACTGATGATGATGTATGACATTTTTCAGTGGATCAAGGAGAAGCGATCTCCAGCAAGCGACCACGTCTGGAAAAGCAGGATACTTTGTCGAACCTAAATGATTTCGAAAAGATGTGGATATAATATACTTAGATGATTGAGATCGATATATTCTTTTCTTTTTTTTCTTGAGATCTTTTAAAACGTGCCATTGCCGATAGCCCATGAGAAGAAATCGTACCACTTCGTTTGACGTGAATATGGCTCGGCTTGTATTGAAAGTGTTCCTTGTAAAAAATAGGTGTTTATTGATTTGTTATTTTAAGCGTGCGAATGTTCTCAAAGATCTGAAACCTCACTTTCATTCCTGTTGTGTGCGTGGCTAATCTCCTCCACGGGTTTCATTTTTTTCGGCAATCTATGGAATTTTTTTGACATAATGTTCAACTTCTATCTTGTTTTGTTGTTTATTGATAAACATCTCGAAATAGTTTCGTGCTTCACATTTTATGAGCATCTTATTTTGCGAGATATCTGAAAAAATTCTAAGCAAAAGTCTAACCTTATGTTGTAGTAACAGTAATTATTCTTTGTTATGCTGTACGTTCCCTTAGGGTCAGGTTATACTTTGCAGTTCGAGTATGGAGTAGATACGTATTGATTGTGTGACCGCATGGTTGATACGTGTTCTACTCCACACTCGAATGCTAAGTATGACCCGACCTTAAAGAGGTGTTCATACTTTGCGACTGTTTTGCAGTCCGGGCTTGTAGCAGATAAGTACTGATCTTGCGATCGTGCGATTGCATGATCGATACCTATCTACTTCACCCTCAAAGTCGCAAAGTTTTGCTGCACCCTTGCGGTTAGCGAACAGAAAGGGCTAGCAGAATGCTCTCCTGTGTCCTTGATTGCTGTAGATCTCTCTCATCTCTTGGGAAGCTTATTTACCGTGTTCGTAGCAAATGCTGGCAAGAAATTATTGCTCATTTCTTGGTGGATTTCAACAGACTCGGCACTTCTTCTCTCGACACATTTATGAACCTCGTCTCATTGTGAGATATCCTCAAGGAACAGACAGTAAGGTGTTGTTTCTAAATTCTTAAGTCTCATTCCATTTTTGTAGTTCACTTCAGAGAAACCGTTACCTGTCGATCCTCTCAAACCAGTGGTATTACTTATTGGATGGGCTGGAGCAGAACATGACCACTTAGCGAAGTACAGCGACATATACACGGATCAAGGGTTAGCCTACATTCACAGTACTTTTGCATTACTGCTTTTTCCCTCCCAGCGTGAACAGTATCCTTTTGGGGGTGTGATTCGCTAAAACAGAACGCGGCTTTTCCGCTTTTCGCGAGGAAGCTTTTTTTCGCTGCGGGAATCCAGGTCCACCTCGACCCACCAAGGACCATTAGTGGACCTGAGGTTCTTGTAGTGAAAAAGCTTCGCTCTGCGAAAAGCGAAAAAGTCGCTTTTTCCTAGCAGCCCATATACTCCTTTTGATTTCTTACTTTTGCCGCTTTGTAGAACTTTCACCGGTTTTCTACGGGGTAGAAGCGCTCTAGTAATAGGTGGAGCTATTTTCTGTGTCTGGCAGCAATTCCTGCGTCGTACGCCATTCCATCCCTCCTGGGTTGCAATTGGTACCAGGCTTGTTCGAGAGGGTGAAAACCGGGATTTTACATTGGTTGGCGCTCGCATGCCGTTGTGTAGGTCACGTAGCAATCGCATCCCAGTAAAGGATCGATCAAAGCCGAATCTTTCGTCCTTTAGCCTTTGTTTTTCTTTAACTGACACTTTCCCATCCTCCTCGAGAGCGACGGAATTAGAGATTTGCAGGTATTAAGATGCATGATTCTACGGTGAAACGCCCTTTTTTCAGCTATCGAACTGTGTCCTTCATTGCTCCCTGCTATCATTACACGACACCAAATGCGC